ATATCAAACTTGCGGTACATGCATAAAATACTAAAAGTAGATAAAATTAAAAACTAATTGCATAGTTTGGTTGTACTTTGCGAGATGAACATTTTGAGCCTAATTAGTCAACGGTTGGACAATTATTACTAAATACAAACGAAATGCTACAGTAGGGAATCTGGCACTATACAAACTTTGCACATCCAAATTCCGGCCAACTAAACGTGCCCTAGTATTGTCCGGAGCAGGAGGGCATGCATGGCTCGTAGCCGTGCATAGGGCACAACGGCGGCACCGATTCGTGCACGGAGCAAAACGGCACCCAGGCCCTATGGGGGGTAGCCTGTGCGATGCCCATGGGCCCATGAGGCTGGGGGCCATGAGGGTACCCATGTGTATACTGTATAGTAGATGCTATCAGCCTATATGCCGGCAAGGCAACAGTACGTACCAATTGGCGGCGGCCTCTCGTATTCTCGTTCTCGATCGTGAGTGCGTGTTTGCGGACTGCGTGACGGTGTCGGCGTGCAAGGGCCAGGCGCGAGCGCGAGCATGGACGTCCCTCCGGCGTGGCGACGTGGCACTGCGGTGTGGCATCCCTCTTCACGGCAACGGCAAGTCGGCAAAGGTATCAGGCCTCTTAAATAAACAAATCAATTTGATTGCAGTTCAGTACTTTAGTGTACAGATCAATACCTGCTTACGGGGATAGGGCTAGGCTTCAGGGATTTGATTTATAATTCAATATTTTTTTATCATGTTAGATGTTGCCAAAGAAACATAAGTCCGGTGCTCAAAAAAGAAAAGAAAGAAAACAAGAACTTCAATCCAGAGAATCGCAAAAGGGTGCGTTGCATAGGTTTTTTCCAACATCAAGAAATGCCGAAGTCAATCAAGATCAGGGGCAAGAAATGTCGAAGGTCAACTATGCTACAAGAAAGATTAAATGGCTTGGCTATGTGTAGCATTAAGAAGGATATTTTAGATACAATTGATCTTGAAAGTGTTCTTGAAGATTTTGCATCAAAAAATGCCCGAAGACGCTTTTTAAAAAGCACTGAAGCACCGTAGTTTTATTTGAGGTAACCATCATAGTTATTTTGCCATTTTTTTATCTTCTTTGATGTATTGTTATCTTTTTAAAAAAGAATTAAATATATGCTACAAGTTATATACTTTAATCGTCCTATTCAAATATTATATTGTCGGGACCTTAGTGTCTTACTGGCCCAAGGGCCCATAAAATTTGTGGGACAGCCCTGACGGCACCGAAGGTCGCTGGGACGGTGGTGCAGCGACCACTGTGTCATTGAAAGCGCGACGATAGTGGTGATCATAACGTCCTCCAACACGCATCCTCAGGCCTAAGGCCTTGGCAGCATGTTCGCTCGGTCGTATTTGGCTTATAAGCTATGGCTTATCAGTCAATAAACAGTATTTTTCTCTCACGTAAAACCAGCCAACAGTACTTTCAACCATGGCTTATAAACCAAGCTAGCACAAAGGAACATGACGTTGGCCTTCACCGAGAAGCTCACGAAGTGTGTGAAGGAGTTCCGCTTGGATCCGATGATTAGTGAGAAGGAAGACAATGCGAACGGCACGGTGATATGCCAACATGACCAGTTCGAGAATAAGAGTTGTCGGAGGCACGAAACATTGGGGCGGCATTGTACCTTGGGCAGCCTTCTTGCTCCTTGTCGTTTGGTGATGCTTATTGTTCATGACCAGTTCGAGAATAAGAGTTGTCGGAGGCACGAAACATTGGGGCGGCATTGTACCTTGGGCAGCCTTCTTGCTCCTTGTCGTTTGGTGATGCTTATTGTTCTCTCTTTCGAGAGAAGCGAGCGAGAGACGAGCGGTGTGCTGATATTGTGAGTAATGCAAGTAATGTAAAAGAAAACAGTAGAATAAAATGAATCATTGATCATAGTCTGATATTTCACTACTACTGAATCTTCGTCACCACCGATTCAAGACCCCTCATCACCGCTGGTTTTGGCCCCTCGGCGGCGAAAGTCGTTGGTGATAAGAATGGTCATCACCGGCAGTTAGGCCTGGGCATTTGGTATTACCGAACCGATTGATACGGTACTTCGGTTCTCACAGAAAGTCGGTTCCACAGAAAATAGGTATCCATCGGTTCCTTCCAAAAATCGGTACCGAGAAAATTCGGTTTCGGTATTTTCAGTTCGGTTTCGGTATTTATAGAAAAAATACCGAACTGACCATAGAGACAAGTAATAACAAGTTCAAAAGGTAATTTTTACATAATTTCGACATGATTCCGTAGAGAATAATAGTGCCAAATACATACATATAAAAGTCCACAAGACTATAAGAGTCTAATACCATGAATACATAATATAATAGTCTATAATAATACAATCAATAACATAACAACACTCAAATTCAGCACATTTCACAAACATCTGTAAATTCGTTTTCCTCAGGTAAAGAACCGAATATACCTGAGAATAAGGAACTGAATTGGATACCGAAAAATTCGATCTCAGTATTTTCGGTTCGGTTCTCGGTATTTTTTGCCCAGCCTTACCAGCAGTGATGATAGTCTATCACCATCGGTTCGTGTTACCGGCCAGCGGTGATTAGGATTTCCAGAAATTTCAAAATCGGATAAAAAAATAGCTAAAAATTTTGATTCAATCTCGGCAGGCCCCACCAGCCAGTCACACGTAAATCAAAAGTCATACGATTTTTCACGTAAAAATCTCTGCGCCGCACGGTGGTGGACTGGTTGGATTCAAACCTAAGACATGTGTCCTTGCGTAGTTAGTCTAACCACTCCACCCCCTAAGTCGCATGTATCTATATGGCATATTCATTCTCGTGGTATTCACTTCTCAGGATTTTCAAATGAATATTTAGAACCCTAAAAGACTTCAGATGAAAAGATCATCAACTACAAAGTTGTTGTTCTAATCGAGATCTACATCTTTGATGTTGGTCGTTTTGCTATCGGAGGTCGGTTGACTAATTTGAATTTAAAGTGTGGCAACTTCAACCATACTTTTGGGATCTCAAATGATTTCAAATGAAAAGGTTATCAACTATAAAGTTGTAGTTATCATCGAGATCTACAACTTTAGTTTTGGTCGATTTTCCATCCGAAGTCGTTTGAAAATTTTGAATTTCAAATTTTAGAACTTCATATACAAATTTGAGACCCTAAATTGTTTCTAATAAAAAAGTTGTCATCTACAAAGTTATAGATTACATAGAGATCTACAACTTTGTTTTTGATCATTTTTCATCTGAGGTTGTTTGTGCAATTTAAAAAATTAAATTTTAAAATACGAGAGCTTCGAACATAATTCTGGGACCGTAAATGATTTCAAATAAAAAAGTCGTCAACTACAAAATTGTATATCTTTTTGATATGAAGTTTGTTTTCATACAACTTTGTTTGAAAAAAGTTATGAATTTTATTATGATGTAGCATAACTCAAACGGTTGGTGAAAATGATTTTCACCGCTAGTTCCGACAGTGAAAATGGATCGACCATTACCGACGGTTGGTAACACAAATCTGAGGTGATAGTTACCCCATTTTCACCAATTATTCGTAACACAACCGGGAAGTGAAAATGGATCGACCATTACCGACGGTTGGTAACACAAATCTGAGGTGATAGTTACTCCATTTTCATCAATTGTTCGTAACACAACCGGCGATACAAATCATTTCACCAACGGTTTGTAATACAAACCGGCGGCCGGTGATGATGAGTATCATCGCCGGTGTGCAGCAAACCAACAGCGAAAGTGATGGCGGTGATTCTCATTATGCAGTAGTGTTTATACACGAGGAGAAAAAGTTCGAAGATACACGTTCTAGAATAATTTGGCTCACGAGTTGGTGCATTTTGCTATTAAGTCTAGGAAGTGTCAGAGGCGTGACGTGCGCATGTCCGAGGTCGCGGGAACGCCCGAGGACGTGTGAACATGTGTGAGCGTGTTTTGACGGGAAAAAATTACATGCGGATGGACCACACTGCAGTCCGTGCAGATATCCTATCCTCGCATGACGCGTGTCCCGCACCGCGCTATGACTCTGGGGTCATGTTTAGATTGTAAAAATTTTAACCCGATAAATAGTAGCATTTTCGTCTTATTTAGTAAATATTGTCCAATCGTGGACCAACTAAGCTCAAAAGATTCATCTCGTGATTTCCAACTAAACTGTGCAATTAGTTTTTTTTACCTACATTTAATGCTCTATGCAAACGGCTAAAAATTGATGTGATGGAGAGAGAGTGAAAAAACTTGAAATTTGGAGGTGATCTAAACGAGGCCTGGATGGAGGAAAATTATATGGATCTACGCGTGTCTCCGGCCACGATCCAACGCTGCGTCGTGAGGTCCTCCGCCGTAGCGGTTCGTGATTTGTCGATAAAAAAAAAATCAGGATCCGTGATTTAGCGCTGCTGTTGATGACGTCTTGGCGAGCCGTGCTTCCAGCTGGCACCCACGACCAGTCCAGGCACGGACGCGTCAGCCATTGACCCTGTGTATGCACCGCGACGCGATGGATACAGGATGCATACAATTTTTTTCCCTGGATGGCTCGGCTCGCATGTCCACATGTCGCGTTTTCATTGGAAGTGCGCACCATGCCGGGTGCGGACGGTCCCTACCTAATTTTTTTTCTGTTTTGACCGTTCGAGGATTGCCTAATATAACGAACAACTCCAAATACGTGGTTGGGTTGAGATCGTTCCTTACAATATACTCCTCGGTCCCATAAAAACTGTTTCGCTACAGGCAGGAGAGAGGGTTCTAGACGGTGGTTTTTGGCAGATAGAATAGAGGTATTTCTGTTATTTTTCCACCGCATTGGTTTCTATGCCGGGTCCTATAATTGCATTTTTATTAGGACGGAGGGGGACGGAGGGAGTACATTTGTAACAAATACAAAAGCCAGACTCTACACCATGTCTGATAGTACATAGATACTTCAATCGTGAAATCTCCGAGGGAGTCCACACAGAAACTATCTACGGGCCTTCGACAACCTTGCAGGCCGGCTTCTCGTCGGTGGCGGTGGAGGCGGCGTCCGGGCATACGAAGAACAAGTAGAAGCCCGCAAGGATGGTCACCGCGGCCATCGACCACACGACGGCGGCGACAGGCGCGGGCATTAACGGGGCAACTCTGCCGGAAAACATGACCGTCAGGGTGGTGGTGAGGGCCCATACTGCCGCCTTCACCTGCAACCTCCTGGGCGATTCCGGGGCCAATCTCTCGAACACACGAAGCAGGTGGAAGAGAAGGACGACACAGAAGAAGGAGACGGTTACAAACAGTATGGACCGGGGATCATGTCTCGAGTGGTAGATGGCTATCACGCTGTTGAGCCCGAGAAAGGACAGGGCGACGGCCGAGGCGCATGATGACGTTCCGCCATTCGAGGAGGCTCCGGTGGGGGTGGGGTTGTCTTCGGCGCGAGGAGGATTTAGGGAGAGTTTGAGCTCACTGTTCACGAGCGATTTGCCATAGTCCATGAAGTATCCTCTCGCCCAGGCTTTGCTTCGCGCGAGTTCTTACCAGCAGCTAGGACGGATCCATTTATAGAGTCGGGCGAGAGTTTCTAGCTTGCAGAGAACCATCAAAGGAAGTAACCATGAAATTTCCTTTAGCTTTGTGATCGGTACTGGCCGCGCGCTTTTGTCCCACGTCCACAATTTCCTTGCATCCTGGTGGAAATTTCCATTGCATTCTGCTGGAGTAGTTAGTTTGTGCACAAAGAGAAGACTTGCCGGTTGGCACCTTGAGTCGTCGCTGACGTACGTGAAAGTTACGCCCGCGCGTTGATTCGCTGTTTGCATATGTAACGATCCAAAAAAAGAACACACACACACACATCTAAATTTGCAAGTTTTTAATTTTTTTCTACAAAAATATGAATGGTGTTGTGCATAGAAAAATAGCCAAAGGTTCATATAATTAAGTCTAACTTAATTATGAAGTGAGTTGCTTCTTATGGATCTTTGACTTGATTATCACCTAGAAATATTTTCTGAGAAACCCAATCATATGTGTATTTGTATGAATGTTAATACATGACATATAGGCCCTAATAGAAATAGTTAAGAATTGAAGAAGAAATAGGAGAAGGGTTCAAAGCACTAGCCTAATCGCACGTACATGGCCACTAGTCCCTATCTATATTTACATTCAGTATTAAAGTAAGGATATTTATTTCTCCTTAGCTCAATTTGTCACTCTCTCTTCCCAATCCTTCGGTCCCTTACTTCTGCTCCTCTTGGTCTGCTACTCTCCCCCATATGTCCCTCACTCCCACCCCTCTAAGGCTCTCCGCTGTCTGTACATATATGTTACCCCTACCCTCATCGAGATCTAGTCTACTATAGATAATTGTATTCTCCTTCGCCACAAAATTACAATTTTGAGCCGCAAAACCTTTCGACGATGCAGCCATCAATGCTCTTTCATCGTTTCAGATGCTTTTCGGACTAGTTTTAGAATGTTGAATCTTGCGACATGTCTAATATTTTAGGGTTGATTGTTAGATTCAGCATAAGGACTGAAATTTGGCTTCAATGTTCGACATAACTATGTTGTGCATCAAGAAAAGCCGCTAGGAAAGAAGACGATGGAAGAATCTAGATAGAATATTATTTTTTATATTTAAAATTTTTTCATGTGAAGTAATTTGGAGATGTACGTTGAAAAAAGTTGGATTAGACATTAGTTATTTTATATTAGTAGGTTTGAACTTGATTTTTTCTTGGATTTTAATTAGATTTATCTATATGGATTTTAATTATATGCTTGAACTGTAGTAAAAATTTCATACTCATGGGATCATGTATAACTTAATTATAGATTTATTTAGTTATAGATTTATTTAAGTGTATGCTTGTTAAAAAGTATTTATAAATCTATAACTAAATCATGCATGATCCAATGAGCATGAAGTTTTTACTACAGTTCAAGCATACAATAATTATTTCAGCATAAAAATTTCATCACAATTGGACCATAAAAACTGCAGCTATGAATTAATTACAGAAAAGTATAGATACAAAACTACAACAAAAAAATTTGTACTAAAGCATACCATATTATATGTTCACTGTGTAGATCTACTCATATGGAGTCCAATAAAATTAGATTTTCTATTTTAGAATTTTTCTATGATTTACTATGATTTTTTAAAGATTCAGCCGAAATAAATAAAAAAGAAAAAGACAAAACCCCATTTGAAAACTGCTTATAACCAATCAAGGAGGTAAAACAAATGGTTTTAAAAGTTCAGAGAGGTGGTTTATCCGGTTTTAGAGTTCAGGGAGGAAAAGCGGACTTTCGTAAAAGTTGAGAGATCGAGCTCTGTTCAGCTGGTCTATAAGCCGCTTGCGTTGATTTGTATGACTGATTTATTGAGAGAGAGAAATATTTTACGTCGATAAATCGGCTTATAATGACAGCCGAACAGAGTCCTAATGTGGACTTTAATGCAGGAACTGGAATCTTAGCGTAGGTGGGCCGTGTATCTTTAAAAAGGTGACAACTGAAACCCAGGAAAAAAAACATGCATGGATTGTGTTGGCCCACAATAGCACACCATCTCGAGCCGAGCACGGAGTAGCAATGATGCGCCTCACAGCATTCAAATTCAAACTGGCCGCTCCGGACGCTCCGGAGCCTCGCCAATTGATCTTGATGTTGACTTTTCAAGGTCTGTCGTGTGATTGTGTCTCCCAAATATGTACGGAGTACTACTCCAACGAAATTTCTATCCATCGTCCGGGTGATGGGTATTTATGTTTTCATCCACCCTTAGGGGGCCTTTGGCAAGGCTCATTGAGCAGCTTCTTGAGCAGCTTTTGCTCAAGTCCTGCCAAACGCTCCGATTTAAAATGGCTTCAGGCCAAAAGTCACCCATGAGCCACTCTTCGGCTTACACTGCAAACCATGAGCTAGAGAAAGTGGCTCTCCCCCGGCTCATCTCCATCCCAAACAGTAAAAAGTGGCATGTGCCCTTGACTATTCACCAAAATTACGAGAAACTTGCCATCGCTTGCTCATATATAAATTAGGAAGAAATAAATAGAAGAAAAAGGATGGGGAAGGAAAGATAAAAGAAGAAAAAAAGGAAGAAAAAGATAGAATCAAAAACATGAAGAAGGAAAAAGTGGGGAAGGAAATTCCTCGTATATAAATTAATTATCAACTACAATCACACATAAAACTCATATATGCAACCACTGAATATGCAAGGGCAAATGGACTATACATATGTAAGGGCATAATGGAAATTGATAAAAGATAGAATTTTTTCCATACGAGCCAGAGCCAAAGTTATTTTTTCACGGTTTGAGCCATGCCAAACATGAAGGAAAAAGTTGCCGCTTTTTGGCCCATTTTTTTTTTGGCCCATTTGTATCTACTAATTATTCTGTAGATCTGTCTCGTATGTCCTTCCTTTTATCCGTATTTTTGAATTGCCATTCAAAACTATATTATCAACTACAATTTTCACACATAAAAGTCATATATGCAACGACGCCCGGACACCATCCGTACCCCTCATATGCAAGGGCACAATGGACTATACATATGAACCCTCGGCGCACGCTAATGGACCCATCCATGCCTCGATATTTTCTATACATTCTAAATCCCTAGCTCGCGGTGCCTATAAGAACAGCAGCCGCCGCCGCTCTTCTCCATTCCCAGCGCCCGCCGTCACTCCCTTCTCTTCCTCGCAGCCAACCGCTGCGTTTACCATGGCGAGCGTTTTAAAATAAGAGCCGCTTCGCCAAATGGACGCGGCGAGAACCCGTGCCGCTGGTGCTCGTCTGTTATCCACGAAAGTCGTTCTTCTTCGCCGAACGTCATACGCTTGCTGAAAGCCTCGTCGTGCCTCTCGCTTTCGATGCCGCCAGCGACGTTGCGTAATACCCGACGCTTAACGCAACCATCCTCGAAAGCAAAGGCCCGAGCCTTCTCCGTGACGCCGAAGCTCCACTCCAGCGCCTCCGCCGCTTCTCCGCCGCACGCCATCATCTCCAACCGCCGCCTCGCTGCTTTTCGTGGAAGACGCCACCACCGTCGGCCTCATCATCTTCCACGCCGACGAAAGCACCGTCCCTTTGCACCCGAAGCCGCTGCCGGTTTTCTACGCCGAAAGCGAAGCCCGAGCCTCAAAGACCACTCAAAGACATCTTCCTCGCCGAGAGCATCTTCTTCGCGGCGCGTCGCCTCGAGCCGGCCCGGGCTGCAGCCACCCCGGCATCTACAATCCACCGGCCAACATCCCGACATCATCTCGACCACCGCGACGCCGTGTCGTGATGTCGAGCCGAACGTGGTTCTGTTAGGGTCGCCAATCGACGCCCATGAGCGCAGTCGAACTCGGCGACGGCCATTAGGCGCCCGCGTCACCAATTGTCATGTGGCCACCGCTCAATTTGTTTTTTTGAGAACCCGCTTCGAGCGGGCCCATTTGTACGTCGCGTCGTCGCCTGTGGTCACGTGAGCATAGTCGGGCTTTTCTCTGTGGAGGAGGAGGAGGGCTTCATCGTTGATTCTATTCTGTAGATCTGTCTCAGTATGTCCTTCCTTTTATCCGTTCTTTTTTTTGGTCTCCAAGTTGATCGTGTTCAGTTAGCTTGCCTAAAGGAATCAGAGTGGTTGGATATGTACAGGGGGGCACGTGACTTCTTGTGTGAGTTGTTGCGATGGTAACGAAGGAAACATGTAATTTTGTGGTATGAATTGGATTCTATTCCAAGTTGATTGTTCAGTTAGCTTGCCTAAAGTTCATTTTATGTACTTTTGCGGAGTGTCGAATTATTCATTATAAATTCATTTTCTTTGTCGTTTCATATAAATCCTATAGATGACAGTGTTTAATTATGATTGGCTCAAAAAGTGGTTGATAACTGTATGAAGTGTCATCCGGGTGATGGGTAGTCACTGCCACGCCCACGAGCCATCGTGTGGCGGCTTGTCCGGATGACACGAGGGACGTGCCGCGTGCCTAGGCTCAGGGCTGTGTACTTGAGTTCGTCGCACTCGCGCGAATCCTGCCATAGTGCCACGAACTAATCAGGCCCCGTTTAAAATCCAAATTTTTTAAGATTTCTCGTCACATCAAATCTTGACGGCACATACATGAAGCATTAAATGTAGGTAAAAAAATAACTAATTGCACAGTTTACCCGTAATTAACAAGACGAATCTTTTAAGCCTAAATAATCCATAATTAATCAATTTTTATAAATACAAACAAAAATGCTAAGCTAACCAAAAGCTACAAATTTTCGCATCGGGGCCTTAGCATGGAAGCTTGGTAAAAGGAATTCTGTCGCGGATGATGAAAAAGGAATGCTGTTTCAAAGGCTCCCCATCTACTCCCTGATGTTGACTCACACCTACTCCCTGATGTTGACTCGCACCTAGCAGCATCCGTCGAAAATGACACTAAGGGCTCGTTTAGATTACCTTAAAATTATAAGTTTTTTCACTTTTTCTC